CGACGCCGCGCACAGCCTGCAAACCCTAAACCCTAAACCCTTTACCCTAAACCCTCCGGCGCACGTCGCAAACCCTCCCCGTCGCCCCACGCCCCACCGCAGCAAACCCTAGACCCTGCAAACCCCAAACCCTCGCAACGCCCGACCCCGCAAAACCCTTGAACCGTTCACTCCACAAAACCCTCATATCACAAAACCCTAAACCCTAGAAAGCGAGGAACTTGAAGCACTCAAAGGCCCCACCTGACAAGGCTCCAACCCAAACCCTAGACCCTAAACCCTAAACCCTCGACGCCCAGCAATAAGTAGGCAAAACACGAAGACCGCAGCAGCAGCAAGCCGCCACCCAGGAGGTTGAGCGAGCCGGCCCACAAGGCGTGGGGTTCAGCACCTAGGGTTTAGGGTTTAGGGTTTAGGGTTTAGGGTCACCTGGCAAACACCACAAGGTAGTTAGAAGATCCCGCAGAATTAAAAATGTCATTTAAATCCGACAGAGACGCAGAAGGAGCCGACAGTGTGTCCAAAGCCCCATAAACCTCTGCGCCGCACACCCTAAACCCTAAACCCCAAACCCTAAACCCTAAACCCTAAACCGTAAACCCTGAATCATGCGCGCCTGCTACAAAATCTAAGCCGCCTTGTTCAAGTTCGAAACTGCGTAATTTAAACTCTAAACCCCCAGTAGCCCGGGACTGGTTCAAGAACTGATGCTAAACCCTAGACCCTAAACCCTAAACCCTAAACCCCTAAACCCTAAGCCCTAAACCCTGCATCTGCTCACCCTCTGCAAACTCATCTATCGTGTCCTTTGAATAACTGCAACAAAAACGGAAAATGGAAAACAATGAAGACACCATAGCAGCAACAGCACAGCAGCAGCAGCAACATAGCAGCAGCAGCAGCAGCGCTTATGCATGCAGCAGCAGCTGCTGCTTAGCAGCAAAACTAGACGCAAGGGCAACGTCAATGCGCAGCAGCAGCAACAGCTGGCCACAGCAACAGCAACAGAAACAGCAGCACCAGCAGCAGCACCAGACCAGCAGCAGCATCAGACCGCAGCAGCACCAGCAGCAGCATCAGACCAGCAGCAGCACCAGCAGCAGCACCAGACCAGCAGCAGCATCAGACCAGCAGCGGCACCAGCTGCAGCACCAGACCAGCAGCAGCATCAAACAAGCAGCAGCACCAGCATCAGACCAGCAGCAGCACCAGCGGCAGCACCAGACCAGCAGCAGCACTAAACCAGCAGCAGCACCAGCAGCAGCATCAGACCAGCAGCAGCACCAGCAGCAGCACCAGACCAGCAGCAGTGCCAGTAGCACCACCAGCAGCAGCACCAGACCAGCAGCAGCACCAGCAGCAGCACCAG